TAGTTTCGTCAGGTTATAAACGGTTTGTGTCTTTAAAAAAATGTCTCTGATGTAAAATATAAATATGGTACATAGGCTAACAGTAACTTCTCCCCAGTAACACCTATTTTCATTTCACAAGCAGATCACGTTGTCGAAAATTTAGTTCCAAACCAAAATTTTGCTTTTTATTGCCGCCAGTAGAAAAAAGTAAAAGTACCGACTGATAGTCAAGTTGTCAGTAAAGAAAAMATTCCAACATGCTTYTGGTKGGTACTTCGCATATCGCACGAACGAGAGTATAGTTCAAGAGTAAAATGCATCTGAGATCATGGAGAATAAATACGAGGAGTTTATAAACGTACGCAGAGTTTTGCGCAAGGATCATAAAAAAGTAAATATTCCTTTTTTGATGGAATTCATAAAGAATATGWTAAAGATAAACGAAGAAGACGAGGCCGTGACTAGTAAATGCTTGTTTGAAGCATATGAACGATGGCTTGCTATAAAAACTGAAGACAAACAGGCTAGATCATTTGTGTCTTTCACGAGATTCTGCCGAGTAAGTAAGCTTATAGTTTAATACTGATACATTATGGTCCGTGTAACACTCCACAAAGAGCTTTTCAATTTAGTTGGCGTGAATTGGACATATGAAATTTGCCTGATTTTTGAATTTTCATTTCTTACGATCATGTCAAAATTCMAATATTATCTCATCAATGTCAATTTTCAATTTTCGAATTCAAAAATTAAAAATTAAAATAWMTATTTGAAATTACTTTTCGAAATTTTGATTTTGTACTCTGAAAACGAACTTTGGAAAAATATCCTGTAGACAGGGGGAGGTGAAGATTAGGCGGACTGAGGGTAGGTGAATGCGTGTACCTTATGGCCATTCGTCTTTTTGATAAAATTGAATTATCGATTTATTAAATTTGGCCCCAATTTTCGATTTTTTATTAATTAAAATTAAACTTTGAATTCCATTTTTTCAATTTTCGAGTTGTCGTTTAAATAGTTGAAAAAATTGACAGACACAGAGAGAAAAATCCCACACGATCCGTGGGCAGTTCGTTCATTCAATTTTCAATTTCAGTATAAAATTGATTTCACGTTATAATATGTAACTGTAATAAATATTCATTTAAAAAAATACGAGTTTACCCTAGATTTCCTGTTTTCTGGAATGAAAAAAATGATTTATTACCATAAATGTGTTATTTTTAAAACTGAACAAGACATAAATTTCAAAATCACTGTTTTCACTTTATTTTGGTGATTGAGAAGGTGAAAATGTGATTACACTTTTGAGCCAACTGTCCACGTGACCTGGTGATATTTTGGCGGATTTTTTAAAACAGCCATTTTGAAGCCATGGACGACATCGTTCATCCTGACTATATTAGAGATCTCGTACTGAAAATGAAATGGACGCACAAAAGGATAAGCGAAGAGTTGAGAAGGAAATATCCTGATTTAAGGGGTTTAAGTGAAATGAGTGTTAGAAGGTTTTGCTATAAACACAGCATCCACCGAACGTCTAGAATAAGTGATGGAGAGCTCGATGTTGCCGTTTTTAATGCAGTGTCCAAGGTACGTAAGTGCATGGTCTGTTATGCAAGATTTTGTTAACTATATTTAAACGTGCACGACATTTATATTGCTGCAGGTTGGTCCAACATACGGACGAAAAATGATAAAAGGAAAGCTAGAAGCGGAAAATATAAAAGTTCACGACAAACGAATTTCTGCATCGTTGACAAGAGTGACACCAGAATATCAACAGCTTAGGAGGCAAAACACTGCAAGGCTAGTAAACCCTGTCCCCTACCACGCTGATTATTTTGGGCACAAACTGCACTGCGATCAGAATGAGAAACTGGTAATGTATGGATGTACGAGCGTGATGGCTATAGATGGATATAGCAACAGCATTTTAGGTATTGCAACAATGCCAATAAAGAATAACTTGGAGATCTACCGATGTCTTTTCAGGTTAGCAAAGACTAATTCATTGTATTATCATAATAATAATTATTGTGATTTGAATACAGTTAACCCCTCGCAGGTGACCACACCAAATCCAAAGCCGAAAGGTTCGATGCCCAGGTAAATAACGTATTAAATTACTTTTGCAAAACAGGCCAATCATCATGAGGTATGGCCTTTGGGACCAATTAAGAATTGATTGCGGCAAAGAATTTTATTTGATGCTCCATATTCAGCAAAGCTTGGCTARCTTCAGGTACAACACATTACGAGCACCCTATATCCAAACTCCATCAACAAAGGTAATAAAATAAATCAAGTATATATACAAATTAATAAATGACTTAAAATGTTTGACTTTTTATTTCCCTTCAACAGCTGATTTTTTTAAAGTGCAATACGTTAAGCTTACATACAAGCATTAAATATAGTATCTTCATTTATTACGACTGTAAAAGACAGTTTTCTTTCCATACACGCTTTGTTAAATTGTAAGAAAAACACAAAATGTCAAATATTCTGAACATTATTTCTCAAAATCAGAACTATTTACCTCATATTGCACGAGCGTAGCTCAAAAGCTTACATAGATTTGCTCATGCCAAATGTGAGCCGGTCGATTGAACGAGTTTTTGTTTCCTCTTTCTTTGGAACTAAACTATGGAAATTTGAAACCACGTTTGTGACACCATGCTTGCAATCCTTTCCTCAAATAAAGGCACTATCTRAAGAATTAACCTTGGAAGTTGTTCGCATACGATATAGATGTTTTGTAGCTTCGATAAGCTTTTATTTACCCTAGATCCATGTGAATGCTGTTAAAGCACAGGGAGCCCAATTTAGATAAAGRTAAAAAGTGAAAATAAAAATGAAAAAAATCGACTTTTACTATTGTTTTCCTTCAAGGGGAAGATAATGGGGGACATTATCTTTACCGCGAATGAAAAAAATAAGAGTGGATATTTTTCCCATTCTTATTTTCACTWTTTATATTTATCTAAATTGGGCTTCCTGTGGTTAAAGCACAGGTACCGTAGCTGAGCTTGGGCTCCCTGTGGTTTTCCTTTTACTCGTCGCCATGTCTAGTCTGCGTTTGTTTTGTTTTACGTACGTATCAAACCTGCTTGCTTATATTTCAGAATCACATTGCAGAGAGAAAATGGGTAGAAATGAACAGCAGGATTAATTATCCCATWAAAGCTCATCTCAATAAAATGGTTGAAGAAGAGTTAATTGATATGAGGAATGAAATTGACAAGTACTGTGTGTCTTGGGTTACAATGCAAGTTGTCCAGGCAGGGGTAAACGAATTAATTCCTGCATGGAATTATCACAGTATTCCAGGTACGAAATATTCATATTGAAAGAGGGCCAATCTATCATTGATAGATAAAGAGTTAGGAACTTTAGCTTTATGAAATGCAGTATATTTACAATGATATGGCCTGTGTTAATTAGCAGCTCTCTTTACCCCCAAGGAACTACAACCCCCCTTGCCTTCCTTTTTTAAATGGCTGCTGTACTGGCTACTAGTACAATAATTATAACACATTATGAAATTGATGTTTTAATATGCTATGTTATTATCTGTAGGGAAAGGCAGACCTATTGACCTCATAATGAAGGATAGCAGGGCAGTAGCAGTCCCAGAAAGTGTTATCCCTACACCTGAAAATGCGCTTCAGCAGTACGAAAGGAGTGGGGGGAAATTAAAGAGCTTCAGTGAATTTGGAAAAGATCCACTTTCAGAAAGCCATCATCTASAAGAAGTTAGGAGCAAAGAATTTGAAAAGTACCCTTCTTTTGATAAGGTCTTTAATAGAATGGTCAATAATGATCCCAGTCTCCTGAGACAGAGCATTCAAGCTATGATTACTATTACAAAAAATCTTGCAGTTCAGGTAGTCTAATCTTAGCTTATAACTTTTCAACTATTTAACATGTAAACCTCAACTAGTTGGTTTCATAATGGGATTACTATTTTGAAGCTATAGTAGCAAGGTTATTATTTGTTTCATTGTTTATTTTGGTACCTTAAAAATTAGTGCCTTACTTTCCATAACGTCTTTAAATAATATTGTCAAAAATGACTTCAATTTGATAGTTCTAAGACCAAGCATAACCAAGCTATGATTACCATTACAAAAACAAAAAACAAAACAAAACAAAAATTGCAATATCAGATAGTCTGATCTCAGCTTATAACTGTTCAACRATTTAACATGTTAAACTCAACTAGTTGTTACTATTAAACAGTCTTGTCATGTGATCATATGCTGAAGCTATAGTATCAAGGTTATTTGTTTCAAGATGTAGGCCCTTAGTGAAAGACTAAGTGAGAAAAACGACTTTTGCTAAGGTATATGGGGTGATCTTTGATTACATTTTTTGTCATTGGCATAAAGTAACTGTTTTTCCCCCCAGAAATTAACTGATTTTCCAAAAAAAAACTTAAAACATTA